CTTACTTTTGCTTATTAAAAAAATATATATTGCTGGATCTGTCTCTCCACACAGTCATCAACACCTGTTATTATCTACCTTTCTAATTTTGTAAATTTTGTTTGAATCTGAATTTCTGTGGTTCCTACAAAGGTTGAATCTGTCTTCATAAACCACTAGCCATTTAGTGATCTTATGAGAATTCCCGCTCGTCTCCTTGGCCCTCTTTCTGTTGATTTCCTGTTTTCCTTGTTGATTTGCAGTTTGTGTTCTCACCAAGCCATGGGCACTTTTAGATGTTGTAAATTTCTTCTCCTTGTTTGAGACATGCCTGTAGCTGCCAATTTGCCTATTGAATAGGAATCTTTAATTCTGACGATATCAAATTTACAGTGTGGTTTCCATGTTGGTATCTTTCTCCATTCTTTCATGTCTTTTTCTGTCTCTATAGTTTTCTCTATCTGCATTTGATATCCAACCTGTACATGATGTCAGCTAGGGTCTGCTTTATTTTTCTTGACACAGTGAGTCCTATTTTCCAACACCATCTGTCCCACAGATCTGTCCCTTACCCCCTGTCATTGCTTTGTGAACCATCCTTCTCATCTATGAAGTCCTACATGCACATTTCTTAAAATCTCTGGTCTATCTCTTTGTTCCTATTTTAATTACTGTGGCTTTGTCTTAATATGTGGGAGCTTGCTGCTTCTTTTTAGATTGCAGATATTTATTCTCTTTATTTTTTGAATAAATTTGTTGGGTTCCTGAAAAAAAAATCCTCTTAGAATTTTTACTGGGATTGAATTGAATTTATAGAATGATTTTAGGAGCACTGACAGCTTTATCATGCCAGGTTGTTCCATATAAAGATATTCTGCACTATTAGGTTGATTTCTAGAGACTGTGGATTTCATTATTATTAAAAATGACGTATTTTCTATTTAATTTGTTACTACTCCTGACATAAAGAAATGCTATGGGTGTTTTATTGTGGTAAATATACATAAAATAAAATTTACCATTATAATCATTTTTAAGTGTATAATTCAGTGGCATTAAACACATTCACAATGTCAGGTAATCATCACCATCATCTATTTCCAGAATTTTTACATCTTCCCAAACAGAAACTATGTACCATTAAACAGTAACTACCCAGTTCCCTTCCCTTCCCCAGACCCTAGTAACCTCTACTATACTTTCTGTCTTTGTGGGTTTCCCTAATGTGGACATTTAATTTAAATGGAATCACACAAAATTTGTCATTTTGTGTCTGGCTTTTTCCATTAAGCATAATATTTTCAAGGTTCATCCACATTGTAGCATGTATAAGAATTCCATTTCTTTCTATGGCTGAATAATATTCTATTGTATGTATATATCATATTTTGTTTATCCACCCATCTGTTGATGGACACTTGGGTTGTTTTCACTTTTGGCTATTGTGAATAACACTACTATAAAATGAATATCTGTTTGAGTCCCCATCTTCAAATTTTTCAAATATCTTAAATTGCTGAGTCATGTGGTAATTCTGTGTTTACATTTTTGAAGAACCTCCATATTGTTTTCCAGCGGCTGCACCATCTCATATACCCATCGGCAATGTACAAGGGTTTCAATTTCTCCATATCCTCACCAACACTTGTTAGGCTATTGATTTTTAAATTAATTTCATTGTGGTGTAATTTCTGCACAATAAAGTCATCCATTTAAAGCGTACAGTCCAAAGAGCTCTGGCAGTTGCCCACATTCACAAAACCACCAGCACAATAAGAAATTGGACGCTGCCATCACTCCCGAAAGTTTCCTTCTGTTCCTTTGTGGTTGGTTTGTTCCTCTCTGCTGTTCCTGTTGGACAGGAATTCTTGATTTTTGGTTGCCCCAGGCAACCACTGATTTGCTTTTTGTCATAATAGATTAGTGTGCATTTAAAACTTTTTCTATAAATGGAATCATACATTACAGACTCTTTGATGTTTGTTCCTTTCACTCAGCATAATGATTTTGAAATTCATCTTTTTTTTCATGTTTGCCATCATATGACTGTGCCCCATTTTGTTTGTCCATGCATCTATTGATGGAAATTTGTTTTCCCCCATTTTCAGCTATTCTGAATAGAGCTTCCATGAATATTCATAGATAAGTCTTCATGTGAACATATGTTTTCGTTTCCCTGGAGTAATTACTTAGGAGTGGAATGGCTAAATTTTAGTTAGGTATATGTTTAACTTCTTAAGAAAATGCCAAAAAAATGTGGTCATATTAATTTGTACGCGCACCAGTTCTGTTTGAGGGTTCCAGTTGTTCCATATTTGTGTTAACACTTGTCATTGTCAGTCCTTTTAAATTAGTCATTCCAATGGCTGTGTAGTGGTATATCATTGGATTTGATTTGCATTTCCCTGACGAGTGATATCGGGCATCTTTTCATGCACTGATGGGCCACTCACAACATCTTCTTTTGTAAAGTGTCTGTTCAAATCTTTGGCTTCTGTGTGTGTGTGTGTTTTTAAACAGCTTTACTGAGATATAATTCACACACCATACAACTTAACCCATTTAAAGTGTACAATTCAATGTTTGCCAGTATATTCAAAGACCCTCCTTTAACCTGAATTATTGAACACTGAATATCTTTGGAATTAAACATTTGCTTCAGACTTGATAATGTTTCTTAATGAAGTCAACCTAAAATTACAAGAGAAAATAGTGCTTACATGCGAAACATAGAATGCAGTACTGTCATATTAACGACAATTAATGTTATATGAATCACAAGTAACATGCTTTATACACTTCCCGTGCTGTCAGAATTAAAACAAGAAATGAATTCTCCATTCCCACTCATATCTGCAATGGCTGTATCTTTTGAGCTCAAACTGTAGTTCTTGATGCAAACACAAAAGAAATTTCCACATTTTAAAATCGGTGTAGCTATGTAATTGAGAAGTTCCCACCTAACCCTCAATTAGAAGTGATTAATCCTGTTATTAAACCCATCCAGTGATATTTTAAAATTCTAGATTTTGTATTTTTCATTTCTAAAATTTCCTATTTGGTTCTTTTAAAATATTTTATTTTTTTTCCTACCTCTCCATTCATGAGAACCTATTTTTCATGACCTCATTGAATGTAGTTGCAATGAATGCTTTTTTTTTTTTTTTTTGCAATAGCTGCTTTAAAATCCTTGTCTGATAATTCTAATAACTAACTTACCTTGGCATTGGCCTCAGTCGATCTTTTTCCCTTGAGGATGGATCAGTTTCCTGGCTTTCCCTGTGTCCAGTAGTTTTGTATTTTCTCATGAACATTGTGACTATTATGTTGCATAGACACTGCATTCTGTTATATACCTATGAAGACTATTGCTGCTTTTGTACTGGCAGGCCGTGAACTTGGTTAGACTTTAATTGTGAACTCTGCCACTCCTGACATAGGCAGAGGTCAGTCTTGGCCCATTTTTCATCTTTGGCTAAGCTGGTTCTAGTCTGCTTTGCACACGCATGATTCAGGGGTCAGCAAGAGGGTTAGGTAGAGTTCATACAGAATTTGGGGGTCTCCTTTCCTGGCTCTCTCCTTTCCAGAGTTCTCCATTCATTCTCTGATTATTCTGGGCTCTGTCTTCTGGCACATTCGGCCAGAAAAATATTGGGATTACTGCTGAAGTCTGAGCACTCACACCACTGTGGTCACACCTTGGCTGTCTTCAGGGCAAAGCCACACACAAGAGAGATCCACTCCATGTTGGCATCTTCCTCCAAGTATCAATTTCCCTCCAGGATGACTTTTGTTCATTCCCCAGGGCCCTTGAGGAATTGGTTTTTCACATTTTATCCAGAACTTTTCAGTTGTTGTCTGCGGATGAGACCTTTTTAAGTTACTTACTCCTCTACTGACTTCTGTAAGTTGATTCTTATACCTGGAAGCCTTGCTGAATTCGGTACAGTCACACCATGAAAATAATGCAGGTTCAATTTCAGACCACTGCAATAAAGCGAGTCATAATCTTTTCACTTGGGGAGGGTCTCATATTCAATTTGTAAAAAAACACAGCATCCGTTAAGTGCAATAAAAGGAGGCATGCCTGTGTTAATTAGTATTTGGTTTGACTATATGTCAAACGCAGACTATAGAAACCCAGAAAAGGTCAGAGGCGAGACAGCTGTATATACTCAGTTCAGCAAACAGAAATCTCTGCAGGTATGTAACGGAGAGACATGTTCCACACAGGGAATTCCTGTTCATAAAATCATCTGAGAAGTTGGAGAGGAAGTGAGAGAGCTGCCAGGGACTCTGGCTTCAAGGTCACATCGTGAAGGCTGCTATCCGAAGTTAGGCACTGGTGTCCAGTCAGCACAGAGATGCATGTTGTCTACCCTGATGGCCAGTGGCCACAACAGCAGGAAGGTGGCTTCTTCCTCTGGTCCGTAAGACAGCCAGTGCTGGAGCAGGTGGGCTCCCATTGGCCCCACTGTCATGGAGGGCAGTGCTGTGCACTCTCTGGAGCTGGCCCAGTTGAATTTGTCTCCCCCAACTCCTGGGCTCTTGCAGCCTCCCATCCAACCACTTCACCCCACTTTATTTCACACCATAATGCCGTGAGCCCAAAACTCACTCAAAAGAAGCCACACTGTGGTCAACGCTCTGGGAGTCGTATCCTGGCTGAGCGGCCACTACCCAGAACCTACTGACATCGGGCTTAGTGGGGTGGCCCGCAGGGACCCTGTCATGGCACTACTGGGATACCACACCCTGGCTATGCTGTGTAGTGTTGGCCACTCACTAAGCCTCAGTTTCTACACCTGAGAAGCGGGAGAGTAAGGGCCTGTGAAGCAAGGCCTTGGCTCCCAATACATGCCTGGTACATGACCATCAGCCCGCCTGGAGCTCCCACCCACACCCACCAAGGGAAGGGCGAAAGCAGCTCTCCACCCCACACCCCTCCTCTCCTGGCGGCTCCTCCGCAGGGTCCCCACCCACACATTCCTGGAGCGTGAGCAGTGCTGCTCCCAGCTCCACCGGTGAGACCTCATCTGCTTCCCTGACAGACTTGAGAGGCTGCTGGACTCTAGACCACCCACCTCCCAATTGAGGAAACCGAGGCAGAGGAGGCTCAGGTTTGGTTCACCACTCTAGAACATCAGAGTCACTGGGGTCAGGGCCTAACTGGACCCTGGGTGGGGGGGGCTAGGGACACCAGGGATTTTTTCTCAGGGGTCTCCTGTTACCCAGCCCAGTGTCCAGGCTCATAAGGACCTGGGAGAGTAAGGACCCACGGATTCATATGTGTGGGGTGCGGGGTGGACAGTGGCCCAGTCAAGCTCTGGGTTATGCTCATGGGTATGCCTGGGGAGGTGAGGGCAGGGACATCTCTGTCAGCCCTTTCTGGCACCTCCAGCCAAGCAGCACTGGGTGGGACCAGGGATGAGGCCGAGGCTGGTACTGGGACCCACCTGGGAGGGGGCTCTGGTCAGTCCCAAAAAAAGCAGGCTGGGGGGAGGTGTGTCAGCCTCTGCCTCTGCCCTCATAGATGCTCCCTCCCTAGTTCTCAATGCATTTGGGGAGCAGTGAGGACCTTACCCTACCTCCCGTGCTCAACTCAGAGGGCGTTGCCCTCAGGGTCAGCTCTACCCTAGCACCAGCTGCTCCTGACAGGCCGTGTGATGCTGGGCTGGCTGCACAGCATCTTTGTATCTGAGTCCTGTCCTAAACCCATAATCCACTCCCCTGCCTGCCCTCACCAGAGAGGCCTGAAGTTGGTAGGGAATGTGGTCTGACTTCATTTTCCATCACTTGAGGGCCATACCTTAGGGGCTGGGGTGGGAGATTCTGTAGGTGGGTGGGACAGGTGGAGCAGGAGAGAGTCTCAGCTAGTGTCCTGTAACCAAGCACCTGCCAGAGGCTAAGAGTTCATGAGTCTCAGGCTGTAGGGAGGAGCTGGCCATTCCTTCTTTACAGACACAGCCACCTCTACCTCACACTTCACTTTGAGGAGCTTGTGGTCCACTGAGACATCAGACCCCACTGGGGGAATAAAAGGGAATGGCTGTTGCTCTGGTAGCAGGGGCAAGGAGTGACAGCCTCTCTCTGTGGCCAGGCTCCATGCCCAGGGTCCTGGACAGGGCCTGCCCTCACTGGAACCCCTAAACTGTCTTATGACTGTTTTTACGTCACACATAAATATACATGCTCTAGACTGGCCAAAACACCGTGACTCCTACAGGTGGCACTCCAGACAGTTTGGAAGCTGTAGCCCTAAGACAGCGAGGTGTCTCTGTGGCCCTAAGCTGGTCTTGCGGGGGAGGATGCTAGTATCAAGGTCCACAGTGGCCTGCAGAGAGGCTCCCAGGGAGTCCCAACCTGGGGTGCTAGAGGCCTCTGGTTACATGGAGCTGGGTGGGGGCTGAGGGAAGCTGCAGGGGGAGGCACAGCTCTTGCTTGGCCCCACCCACTGCCCATTTTCTGGTTTGGTTTTCTCCCACCTCCTCCGGGGCCTTGCCACTCCTCAGGACACTCCCTGCAGGCCACCTCTTTGCCCAGCTGAAAGGGGAAGGTTTGGGGGAGGGGATGGCTCCTCTATACCAGGCCACAGGCAGCCTCCCCCTCTGGGCCTCCCTGGGAGGGACAAGTGTAGAAGTTGGCTTGATCTCCTGCAGGCCCCAGCGACCCTGGGACAACCCATCCCACCTACTTCCCCACCCCACACTGTCCACCAAGGCCCCTGGACCTCACTCCAGAAAGCACATGGAGATTTCTCACCCCCACAAGAATTCTCACCGCCCACTGCCCCACCCAAGGGGCTGGCAGGTGGGAAGGGGTGTCACCCTCTGGCATCCACTCAGGCTTCTGTTTGGAGAGGGACCTCAGAAGGGAAACCAGGAGGTGGGCCCTGGCTTGTCCACTGGGCAGGGCCCTGAGTTTGCACAAAGCCCAGCACCTGTGGCAGGGTGTGGAGGGGGAGGACGGCCACGCCCCAGATTGAGGGTGCCGTTCAGCATTATCCCCGGCCCTGAACTGCTCAGTCCCCCTGATACGAATGTGGAAACTGAGGACAGCTCAAGCCAGAGGTGGCCCTGCCTCCTCGTACTAAACTCTCTCACCCTGCCCTGCCCTGCACTGTGGGGGGAGGGGAAGGTGCCACCTGCCAGCTGCCTGCCTAGGCTCTCACAACTGGGGGCCAGGCTGACTCAGACCCCACATCCACTGGCAGGAGGGGCTGGTTTTCCGAAGGGGGCGGGCCAGGCTTGCTGGATGGTCCTGAGATCAGGGCTGGATGCTGCACAGACACTGCTGTGGGGGTGAGAAGTTCCACCTGGAGCCTCTCTGGGGCTCTGAAACCCCTGTGCTAGCTGGGGGCAGGGGCGTGCGTGGGGGGGGATGGCAGGTACATCCAAGTGGTTGTCCTCCACAGACCATGGCCTTGTGGAGTGCTCAACGCCCCCTGGGATCCTGCAAGACCCTCAGCCTCCTGTTCCTGCTTCTCAGCTTCGGTGAGTAATGGGGGTGGGCTGCTACAAAGGGCTGGAATGAGAGAGAGTTGGAGGGCAGCCAAGGGTTCTTAGGAAAGGCTCTACCTGCCCCACGCCTCCTACTCCATCTGTAGACGGTGCCCCCTCATCCTCGGCAGGGGCTTCGAGTCCCAGCAGTTGTCCCAAATCTCGGCAGGTGTTCTGAGTTCAGGCAAGTGTCTTGAATCTAGGCAGATGCCTGAGTTCCAGGCAGTCATCCATGCCTCCTCCTGCAGTGCCCTACAGGATTGGAGGCTAAACCAGGGCAGTGACGTGATGGGGGCTCAGGCCAAATTGAGGGTGTCTGGTGGGAAAGTTGTCCGACTTCCCTGAGCAGTGAGGTCCCAGGAGGAGGATGTGGGAAGCCAGGGCTCCCCGATGGGGTACAAACCCTGGCCTGGGGTGTGGTGAGCTGTGACATCATGGGGTCCAGGGGCCTAACCCTTTCTTTTCAAACCTGTGGGGTGTATTTGGGGCTGGGAGGTCAGGGAGGGGCCGGCTTTGCCTCCTTCCTCCCTAGGATAGGGCCTGCAGCAGGCACATCAAAGGCCCCCTGCCTTGTATCCCTGCCCTGCAGAGTGGGTGCTACTCTCCAGGGCCCAGACTGCAGACACAGGACAGGTAAGGAACCTCTAGGGAGACAGAGGAAGGTTTTCTGGCCCTTGGTCGGGGTCCTTGGGCGCTGGGCCATGCATGGCTCAGCCAAAGTTCTACTCTGTCCTTAGGGAGTCATGATGCCGTGGCTGCAACGCACCTCCCAGGACCTGTCCTGGCAGCGGTCCGAGCCGACCATCATCTTCCCAAGGGCACTGCAGGTCACAGAGAGTGAGCACAGGGCCCAGCCCCAACGGTGTCAGGGAACCTAGGGTGAGGGGCTGACACTGTGGGGTCTCACCTGCCGGCACTGTGGCTCTTCCTGGCTGCTCAGTTTGTTCAGTTGTGACAGCAACCTTGGAGAGTGGACAAAATCATCCCAATTTGCCAGTGGGTAAACTGAGGCCTGGAGAGGGTCAAGCATTGCCTAGGGTCTCAGCATGGGCGTGGGAGGAAGAAGAGGTTGACTGGAGAAGCTCAGCTCCTGACCCCCTGCCTGCCCCTGTAGAGAAGGCCTGCCCCTCTGGGAAGGAGACCCATGTGGTGGATGAAAACCTCGCATTCTATGAGGAATGGGAGCTGGAAGCCTGTGTGGACGGGGCCCTGCTGGCTGAGCAGATGGACCGGGTGAATGCGATTCCCTTCACCTACCAGCAGCTTGACATTTTTAAGCACAAATTGGATGAGGTAGTTCATGACTTGGGCTCCCACCTGCCTGCTGTGCCGCAGCCTTCCCCAGCCACTTGAGGAGTGGTTGTGGCCCTCATGGTCATTTCTCCTGGCAGTTCTACCCACAGGGGTATCCCGAGTCCCTGATCCAGCACCTGAATTACTTCTTCCTTGAGGTCACCCCCCATGACATCCACAAGTGGAACGTGACATCCCTGGAGACTGTGAAATCTCTGCTTAAAGTCAGCAAAGGGCGCAAAATGGATGCTCAGGTGACCACCTGTTGGGAGGGGAGCACATGGTATGAGGTTGTGCAGGCCTACGGGGTAAACACAGGATGTGAGGTTGTGCAGGCCTGGGGAATACTTCTCTCCCTGCCCCAAGGCATCTCACTGGCCTCCTCCCACAGGTGGCTGCCCTGATTGCCCGCTATCTGGTGGGAGGTGGCCAGCTAGATAAGGCCACCCTGGACACTCTGGCCAGCTTCCATCCTACCTACCTCTGCTTCCTCAGTCCTGAGCAGCTGAGCTCTGTGCAACAAGATGCGGTCTGGTGAGTCCCCGGGGGTCTATGGGTATGGTGGGTGTGCTGTTCTCTGAGCTCACTGCCTGGCTCCACCCTACCTCCCCAGGACGGCTATGCCCCAGGACCTGGTCTCCTGCCACCCACTGCAGATGGATATACTCTATTCCAAGGCCCGCATCGCCTTCCAGAACATGAGCGGGTCCGAATACTTTGCGAGGATCAAGCCATTCCTGGGTGAGCCAAGAGGACATGGGGGCAGGATGCCTGAGGTTCTCATGGTGCAGCCAGGTTCTCACCTCCCTGGACTGCAGGCTGCTAGTGTGATGAGGTCAGGGTGCCCTCCACTCCTCCAAGCATATATAGGCTGAGGCCCTGTGAGTTCTGACCAATGCTCAGGCACTTGGCCACCTCCAGCCTCCCCGCTAAGGTGGAGGGTCAAGTGGTTAACAGGCAAACTGGGGCCCAGAATTCCTTAGGAAAAGAGAATCTCGGTAAAGGAAGTGAGATTCTTGTAGCCTATGGTCCGAGGACGAGACTGGGTGGAGGGGGGGTGTTGTGAGGTCTCACACTTAGGCTCCTCTCCCCGGGCACAGCTGGGGCCTCCACGGAGGACCTGCGGGCTCTCGTTCCGCAGAACATAAGCATGGACATAGCCACATTCAAGACGCTGCGGAAAGAGGTCTTGCTGGTACGGCATCAACAGGGGCGGGGACATTTGGGGGCGGGGCCACGGGGGAGGGCGTGTCCGTGGGTGAGCCGGGCGGTGAGAGCAGGACTACGGATAGGGCGGGGTCTTGGGAGAGGCCCCTGTTAAGCCAGAGCCGGCTCCAAAGTCTGGAGGTGCTGAGGTAGGGTCTGTGGGCAGGGAAGCACGGGGTAGCTTGGACATAGTGGAGTCCAACTGCCCTTTGGAGAGAGGCAGGGAGACCCTGACTGCCGCCTGGGGGCTCTGGCAGCCACTGACCATTGCCGAGGTGCGAAAACTTCTGGGTCCAAACCTGGCGGAGCTGAAGGTGGAGGAGGGGAATAGCCCCGTGCGGGACTGGATCTTCCGGCAGCGGCAGATTGACCTGGACAGCCTGGGGCTGGGGCTCCACGGTGGCATCCCCAATGGATACCTGGTCCTAGACCTCAACTTCAGAGGTGGGCTGGGGTGGCCACTGAGTGGGGCTGGGGCAGAGCGAGGTGTAGGGTCTAAGTCACCCCTCTCTATGCAGAGGCCCTCTCCGGGAGCCCCCACCTCCTTGGACCTGGACCTGTGCTCACTGTGATCCCGACTCTGCTCTTGGCTTTGATCCTGAACTGAGCCCGCTGCCACTGAGGACTGGGCCCTGCTGTGGAGACCCTGCCTGGTGACAGCAGGCCTGGGTTATTCCTGCCGCACCCAGGGGACTGGAGCTCAATAAAAGAGAACCTGTTCCCCCTCCCCAGAGGTGACCTGTGGTTATTCTGGGGACAGAGTAGGAGGCCCTGATGGCTGTGGTGTTCTGAGTGGGCAGGGCTAAGGGCTGTGACCCTATGGACATGGGTCTCTGAGTTGCAGCCTCTCCTCTTTGTACTTGGAAAGGGGGGTGCAGGGCAGGGACTCCAGGCGTGGGGTAGAATGGGAGACTTCGGGGCCTTCCTGATACTGTTCCATTGCCTGGTCTCTCCTGAGGCCAGGCCAACAAACCCAGGGTGTCTTCTGGTGATACTGACTTCCCAGGAGATGGCGGACGAGAGTCCTGTTCCTGGATAAGAAAGTCTCTGTACCCCTCCTCTGGCCCAGAGCAAAGGGTCACAGGCAGGAAAATCACCTTGTCCTTTATTCAAATTAATTAGCAAAGTAACTGCCACGAAGACCCCCTCTTCAGCCCCAGTTCTTTGTCCTGAAGGAGGCCAGAGGGCCAGGGCAGCATCTCAGCTGGCTGAAACTCTGCCCAGGCCCTCAGTCCAGCTCCATGTCCTGGAGCTGGGTGTGGGTGGGGACCAGCCCTGCAGGCCCCTAGGATGTGAGACATAGCTAGGTTCCCTGGGCCTGGGGCTTGCACCGAGGCCTGAACTGGTGTCCAGCTCCACCTACCAGCCCCAGTTTTCCTGCATGTGGTGCTGGAACAGTGCCGTGTTCGGGGGCCATGGTGCAGGTGCCCCATGAGCAGTCCCAACTGGACCCCAGGGTACTTCGATACAGCAACCACAGGAGGCTGGAGGGCAAGCCCATAGCAATTGGCAGGTACCCCAGGTGGGCTGGTGGGCTGCCTGTAGGTGGAACATGGAGGGAGCACCCATCAGTCTTGGCTGAGCATCAACATTCCACATTGTCTCCTGGGCAGCCCCTCCGGGCTCAAGGATCATACCATCCCTTCGGGTTGGGAAGACCAGTGAGGATCCTCATGTGCTGCCACTCTTCTGGACCCTAACAGGGATCTCAAAGCTGCCCCCACCCCCTACTTTATGCAGATCATAGTGTTTTGGAGAAGGTGATTGTGTCCTTTAATAATTCAGCAGACTATATAGGGTGAAGCCAGTGTCACTCAAATGTCACCCGAGGAGCCAAAGTAAAAGAGTTGGCCCACAGTATGAGACTGGGCACAAGTAGCAGTTTGGATTCCACAGAGGCCCTAGGCAGACAGGGCCAATCACAGGCAGGGAAAACCCACCAAGGGGAAGGGCTGGGTGTGGGGCCGTACCTGAGGTAGGGGCATCATTCCCAGGCCTGCCCGAGGTGGTGGCTGGATGGGGCACCCAGGGGGTGGTGTTGGGAGTCCCAGTAGTCAAATGGGCTGAGCTGGTGGGGTTGGTGGGGCTGATGGGGTCTTTGTCCAGGCGTAGCTCATCCAGGGTCGACCTGTTCTTGCTGTGGAGCCAGGAGATGATGATTGGGTGGCTGCGTGCTTTCTGCAGGTCCACCACATTCTGGCCCAGCAGCATTATCACGTTGTCGACACTTAGGTTCTGCAAAGGAGGCAAGGGGGTCATGGGGGGAGGGACAGAGGGTCCTGCAGCAGCCTAGCTTTGGGGCTGAGGGTAGTGCTTACCGGAGGAGTGAGCACGGGGCTAAGAACTGGCAGAACCAGCCTGGAGAAGTGATCTGAGGTCCACACTGTCTGCACACCTCTAACTTCGGGGTGCCTGTGGACCTGTGGCCCAGGGCTCCCCTGGCTTGGCCAGTCTGCCTCAGTCCCCTCTCCCCAGGGCTCACCTGCAGCACTTGGGGGTTCAGGTTGGTGAAGGTGTCAATGTCCATGGAGATGTTAGCCTGGGCCAGGTGCTGCAGGTCCTCCACTGGGGCACCACCTGAGGGCTGGGAACTAGTGAGAAGGGGAGGGATGAGGGCTTCTGGAGGAGGGGTGTTGGAACACAGGGTGGGGTCTCACCGAGATAGGGGCGTATGAAGTGGTAGTAGGTGTCCATGGTCCTGATGCTGCTGAAGGCTTCTCGGGCTCTGGTGTAGAGTATGTCCTTCCGTCTCTGAGGGCAGGAGGAGATGTCCAGGGCCCCGGCCAGTCTGGAGAGGGGTGAAGCTTATGGGCAGGCTGGGAACCCCTTGTCCTCTGGGTAGCCAGGCCTGGGCCTCTCTCCCCTACCCACAGCTGTCCCCTTGCTCTCTGTACTGGGCTGATAGTGTCTCCTCATAACTTATGTCCACCCAAAACCTGAGAATGTGACCTTATTTGGAAATAGGGTCTTTCCTAATTGTAGGTGTCAATCAGGTAAGATGAGGTCCTACTGATTTAGGGTGGGCCCTAAATCTAATGACTGGTGTCATAAGAAGAAGGAAATTTAGACTCAGACACTAGGGGAGACAGCCATGTGGTGATAGAGACAGAGACAGGGTGATGAGGCCACAAGCCAAGGAAGGCCAAGGATTGCCGGCAATGCTGGAAGCTAGGAGAAGCAGGAAGGAGACTCTGCTATGGGTTTCAGGGGAAGCCTGGCCCTGCTGACACTGAATTCCAGACTTCAGGCCTCCAGACTGTGAGAGGGTACATTTCTGTTTTTTTTAAAACACTCAGTTTGAGGTACTTTGTTTAGGCAGCCATAGGAAACTAACATACCTGTGGTTATGTTAGTTTCCTAGACCCCCTCCTGAGCCTCAGTCTCCCCCTCTAATCCTTGGTAAGAAGTAGAGCTGCCCCCGAGGTGTGATAGGTATGTCGCTAGGTGGGCTCACCGGAACTCCGAGGGCTGGATGGCCTGGATCTGCTGGGGACTCATCCAGCAGAGGCGGGAGCCCCCAATGGCCACAAGCAGGGCACTCGTGATGTTGCCTTTGTGGTCCAGGAATTTCTGCAGGATGGCCTGGGAGCAGGGCCGGGGTCAGTGGGGCTGGGTTGGTGGGACAGGGTCAGTGGCCACCCCCCAGCCCAGTCAACCCTCTTTTCATCACTCTGCCCAACCCCCGCTGCCCTCACCTCCGTCTGGTTCTCCAGGGCCACGTCCGAGGCCAGCAGGGCCATGACTGTGTCCCTGGATGTGATGTTCCACAGGCCAATCTCTGTGCGAGAGTAGAGGTAGACCAGCGAGGTGATGAGCTGCAGCTGCTCCTCTGGGATGCCACTCGGGTAGATCTGAGGTGGGCAAGGGTGTCAGGACCCGTTGCCCAGCACCCACTGCCCACTCGCTTCCACCTGGTCCTTGGCACACCTGAGCCAGCTTGGCTTTGATGACACGCTTAGGAAGTGGGTGCTGCAGCAGAGGGTCCAGGCTGGCCCTGAGCACACGGCTGCCCAGGCAGGACTCAAGCTGCAAGCAGTCGTAGTGCACCAAGAAGAGGTCATCCTGCAGCGTGGCTGCTGTGATGTTGCCGTGGGTGCAGGGCCTCCCTGTGGCTGGGAGTGGGATGGAGTTGATGATCCTGCTACTCAGCTGTGGCCCGAGTTGACAACTATTGCTGACTTCGGGCCCCACTCCACTCCTAACCTTGACCCACCCTTGATTCTCTACCCAAGCGTGACCCCTAGCCAAGAACTTAGCCCAGAGCAGACTTAGTCATGACTGACCTTGACCTCGACTCCATGCCTGACCCTGGCCCCAAAGTCCAGCCCCACTTCTTCTGACAAGCCCAGGCTGGATGCAGATCCATGGGCCAAGCTCAGGAGGTCCAGCAGCAGTAGGGCTGTGTCTTGGGTGCTCCTACCCTGGGGTCACGAGTCCAGAGCAGGAGAGGTGCAGTGTCCCCAGGCCATAGTGGCCAGACTCACCTGTGCCCCGCTTGGGCCGTGAGGACATCAACTTGGCTTTCAGGAAGCTAGTGACAAAGCGCCTGGCATCATGCTGGCTGAGTGTCCCTGCCCTGAATGCAGCCACCATACTGCCAAAGAAATCCAGGCCTATGGCCTGGTCACGAGGACTGGAGACTCCACACCCTGGGGCCGTCCAGTCCCTTCTCCCTCCCCGCAAGTAGAAACCCTGTGATAGGAGCTACTGGGAACACCACTCGGGTGTTGAGGTGGCCATACGACCAACGCTCAGGCCTGGACAGGCTGGTAGAGGGTCGGCTGTATGCTCCTCTCTATGTTCAGGGCCAGCTCAACCCTCCACCCCATCCCAGGACACTGTCCTACCTCCTGCACCTGCATCCACAAGCTGGGGCTGATGTAGGTGGCCAGGGGTCCCAGAGACTTCAGCCCCTCTAGGTTCCAAGAGCTAGGGGGCCTGGTGTGTGGGAAGGGATTGTTGTGTCAGGTCTGGAGCAGCACGCCAGCCCCTGGAAGCCTGTTGCCCTTCCCTGAGCACACAGTTCCCAGAGCCTGCTCTTCTGGGGACATTTCATCTACCCAGAAGAGACTCTCCACCCAGGTTCTGGGGCAGGGGAATCGAGGGGCCCAGCAGGTATTGGCAGCACCCCCAAATCTGTGCCCCAAAGGCTGCAAGGTCAGAGTGGGGCTGTGAGCTAGGTCAGAAGTTGGGGGTCAGCAGGGCTGTGGAATAGAGACCTCCTGGACCCAAACTCCAGGCTGCCTCCTGTCTCATTTCCAGAAGGAAGGCCTGGGCAGAGGCGATGGGCCCCTCCCACCCACCCGAGCATGGTCCTCCCGCTGGCCAGCAGTTTGTTGAGGGCAGCCTGCTGGGCAGGGGTCAGGCGGGGGCAGCGCTGCAGGTTCTGTAGCACGTGGGGGTCCGAGGCCACAATGATGGATGCATCCATGTCACACACCAGGATTCCAAGGAGCAGTAGGTCAGAGGCACTGAGCCAAGGGTGGCGCCCTCCCTACAGGACAGCAGATTAGCAAGAGCCTGGCCCCATGGCCCACCCGCTCGTCCTGTCCCATCCGAGGGGCCTACCAGGCAGGCCAAGGCTGAGTGCTGCAGGGCGGCCCTCTGGTCAGGCAGGTTGGCCAGCAGTTCTGTGTCCCCCTGAGCTGCACGGCGGGTGAAGGCCCGGCAGTCGGCTTCCCTCACCTGTGCCAGGCTGCGGGCAGGCGGGGTGCTGTCGGGAAGGCAGGGCCAGCCAGGGGTCCCAGAGACCCAGAGGAGGCATGCTCAGCCCGCTGGCCAGATGCTGGGTGGGAGTGGGAGGCACTCACTTATAGAAGAGCAACAGGTCTGGTGGGTGGAGTGCGAAGTCGCCCTGGAGGCCGTGCTGGGTGGCCAAGTTGGCAAGACAGCTGAGCTGGGCAGGGCGTATGGTGTGTCACTCCCTTGCCCAGCCCCCTCAGTGTGGGGCCCTTGCCTGAGCCCCCTTCCGTCCACCCCCGTGTCCACTCTATTTCCTCCTCCCACCTGCCCATTCTGCGTCACCTGGACTTCATTGTCTTCCTCTTCCTGCCTCAACTTCCACATCAGAACGGCTTCAGAACGGGTCAAACCCAGGCTAAACAGTACTCCTCCCCACCCCCAGCATTCAGGCCCTCTGCTCGCCCCCAGCCCTATTGTGCCAGGGTGGCTCATCCCAATGCCACTCCTGCCCAGACTTCTTGTCTGGCTTGGCCTCCTTTGGGGTGGTTTCGAATTGATTACTAGCTTTATACTAACTTTATAATGAGACAGAATTATAGCTTTCCTTCCTTTCCTCTCTCCCTCCCTCCTTTCCTCTCTTCCTCCCTCCTTTTCTTCCTCCCTTTCTTCCTTTCCTCAAGCTCAAGGCAGTCCATGCTTGGGTCAGCTGTGAGTCGAGGTGAGCTCAGTTGGTCCCTTTCATAGCTCAGGGGAGAGGCCAGGAGGCTGGAAGATCCACCCCAGGGGCCCAAGCACCCTTCTCAAGGGGCACCATGTGCCAGATGGAGGCAGGAAGGGGCCAGCACAGGCCAGGTGGGCAAACCCTCACCCAACCAAGAACAGGAGGCTAGGGTCTGCGGGAGACTGGCTAAAAAGTCCTGGAAATGATCCAAAGCAGGCCACAATGGAGAACCACCTAAGGAGGGACCCCTGACTTCTGTCACCTCGGGGTCAGCCTAAGAGATGCCTCTTAGGTGGCTGTGAAGTTGGTAAGTTGGCCTATAAACAACCATATGCAGTGTCTCCAGCATAGCCCCCATGTTCCAGGTGAGCTCATTCTGTGTCCCAGCCATACAATCCTGGCCCTTGCTGGCCTGTGTCCTCTGCTGAGAATGCCCTCCCTTCCTACCCATCTGCAGGGCTTACTCCCTCGAGACTGCCCTTGCCCTTAGACCCCAGCCCAATAGTGCCAACTGAGGCGGCTTACCTGCCAGGCTTTGAGGAGAACCTGCTGTGATGCCATCCTCCTGATCAGAGCCGAAAGCTGGTCCCGGGACAGCTGATTGGCTGGCTGGCACCAGAAGTCTTGCAGGAGGGAGGTGCTGGCATTGGGCAGAAGGAGGAGGGTACTGAGGGGTAGCACTGGGGGTGGGAGGGGCAGCCCAGACTGCAGCATGAAGGATGGAGGTCAGAATCCCAACACCAAAGGAGTGAGACACGGGAAGTGTGGCTGGCAGGGTCTTGCCAGAGGCAAGACTCCTACTTTACTCCCTCAGTCACTCCCTTACTTCCTCCCTTACTCTGCCTGTGAGCATCCACTTCGGGCTTTAAGCTATGAAGAAGGGTGGCCCCTGTCCAGAAGCTAGGTCTCTGCTTCCTTTGGAGGCCGATCCCAGTGATGGCTGAGGGTTTGGAAGAGATGTGGCTTGGGCACCTTCTGAGTGGCTTCAGCCAGTTCTGTCTCCTCACTGAGCCTTTCTCATGGTATGAGTCTAATAAAATCTGTGCATAGGGAGGGTCTTATGGGACTTTAGTCTGAGCCCAGCTGGTCCAACTTGGGCCTCCAGCCCTGCCTAGTTAGTCAACTGATTAATCAATTGATTGATGGCTGATCGGTGACCTCCAACCCCCAGGGAAAAAGAAGACAGCCAAGTCTAAGCAAGAGACCCCCCAGAAAGTACACGGAAAGAAAGCAGAGTCTGTTTGGGGCTTGAGAGGGCAGTAAAGCCTCAGGGCAGAAGGAAGGGACCATGAGGACTCGGGATGAACAGTCATCAGCAGTGATTGCCTGCCAGGCCAAGGGGAACAGTGAGAGCAGTGTGGGGCTCAGGAGGGACCCCAGCCAGCTGTGATGGCCTGGGGACCCAGTCATCTGGACATGACTGATGCAGGACACTAGATGCTCTGGGCCATCTCAGGGCAAGGTGAATGAGTGATCTGGGCAGGCAGAGCCAGGCCCTCCACGTCAGAGCTGGGAGGCTGTGGCCCTGCCATAGCCACTCCTGAGCCACTGTGGGCAGACCATGGAGGTGCTCCCTCCTTCCCATTTACCCCTCTCCCCCAGGCCTATCAGGAAATCAGCTGCAGGAAATGTGGTTTGTGGACTCAGAGCCTAGAAGAGGGGCTGGCACTCACGTGGCCCACACGTTGGCCCTGCTGGCATCCAGCCCTCCCTGGGAGAAGCCCTCAGCCTGGGGACGAGAGCAGTGGGCAGTAAGCCACATGAAGAGGATGAGGCCCAGGCTCACCAGGGCACCTGGAACAGAACAAGTCAGTAAGCAGCTGCCAGCTGCCTACCAGCACCATCTCAGGGCTGAGCCCTGTCTGGGAGTGAGCATATGAGTGGAAATGTCCAGCGTGGGTCTGCCCAGGGCTCCCTGTGTCCCACGTGGGTCTATGACTACCCCGACACAGACACCGCAGAAGCCATGTGGTCACCTGTGTGTGGCAGCCGGGGTCCAAGTATGGTGTGTGTGTTTGCGTGTGTGTCTGACCAGGTGAACATGCATGTGATAGTGTGTCTAACTCTATATATGCCTGACACTGTATGTGTGTTCCTAAAGGTACACACATGTGATATACACACGTGTGGTGGCATGTACATGCCTGTAATGGTGTGCATGCCCAACACACTACATATGTACGCATATGTGATGGTGTGTATGCATGTGTAGCTGGTGGTATGTGTCTTTTTGTGTTTCTGGAAGCACGTGCACACATATGTGATGGCTTGTGTGTGTGCCTATCAGTGTCCACATATGTGTAATGACATGTATATGTGTTGAAAGCGTGTAACCATGTACATGCACCCAGCTAGTATGCATGAATGCAAACTCCTTCTACCTCCATCCCTATGGTCCTGTCCTTACAGTTTGAGTCCTGAGACCCCCAAGCAGAGGGCCTGGGGTCAATCACCACCTCCTCCTGAGCCCCTTCTAGCTATGGCCTTCCTTGTCCTGCCTTGTCCTCACCAGGACCCCCCATATCCAGTGCCTTGCCTGCCCTCCTCCTTCCCTTCCTTGACCCCCATCCAGCTAGAGATGGGGTACACTGGGGCAGGATGCCTAAGTGCAGGCTCGGGAGGACTCGGTGGCTGGAATGCGAGCACCCTCCACATTTGCTGTGATTCCGCAGGTCATGCCGCCCCAGGGAAGCCCTTCCATGAGGGGAGTCATCTCACCTGCTCTTGGGCCCATGGCTGTGTGGTGTGCACGTTCTGGCAGGAAGGTATTGGGGAAATGGGCAATGGGTCCGAGACAAGCTGGAGAGGAAATAGGAGCTGACAAGGCCATCCCCACTGCCTCTCCCCACCAGCCTCGGCCAAGGCGCACAGACAAGGGTGCTGTTCAGAATCACATAGGCTGGGCATTGTACAGGGCGGGTGACCTGAACCTGGCTGCAGCGTTGTCTCTCTGTCTTTGGGGAGGGGCATAGCCTAACAAACAATGAGTCTTTGGAAGAAAAGAGCCTTTGGAACAAAAGAGCCCACCAGAGGGGGTGCCAGACTTTTCTTATCACAGGTCAGGGCTCAGGTGATCTGCAGGCTGTGGCTCAGGCTGTAGAGTCTCCAATGAACAGATCTCTAGACAGTTATGGGGCATGGGGCAGCGGTGAGTCCCCATACGCAGTTGCGGGAGAGGCTTGCTAGTTTTCCAATCTGCCCAGGTGTGGCCGTGGCTTCATCCCCAGATCTGGGTGGCTCAGGCAGCTCTCTGCTCCTCTCTGAGCCTAAGATCTGGCCCCAGGCACAACCCACACTGCAGCTCTCTTGGGCAGCTCTGGCCATGGTGGAGACCAAAACTGTGAAGCCTGGTCCTAGGAGGTGAGGGGCATCAGGAAACTGACCCATGCTGCCCACTCCTGGGCACAGCCTTGCACAATCTGGCAGCTTTGGGCACCTGTGAGCCTCTGAACTCCACAGGGCCCTTGATGAAGACAAGGAGGTTACTGCTCCATGCAGGGAGCAAAATGAAGTCTCCGTGGGGCTTGGCTACATGTATGGGGCTGCAGAGGCCAGACCTAAAGCCTAGGCCCTATGGATTTAGCTGGTGGTGGCCCCCAACCTGGCCCCAACCCCTCACCTGAACCCAAAGACCTTCTGCAGTAGAGGCTGGTGCTCCGGGGCTAGGTGGCAGCCGTCAGATGCAAGGGGTTGTAGATCAGGTGCCAGGTGCTCCAGACATTAGAGGTGCCAGCCTATCAAGTATATCAGCCCCTGCAGCTGAGCCCCTGGGCACAGCGGTGGTTCAGGGTGGGGGCACCAGTCTTCTTGCTCTCCTCCATGCCTTTCCCAGCACCCTGCCCGTGAAGCCACCCACTCCTGCAGTGACACCCGCCAGGTAGACGTATAGGGGAGGGGCTGGAGCTGTGCCAGGCGACGCTGTTGTGTTGGCCCTTGGGGCCCCAGCACAGCGGGCACCTGCTCCCCAGTCCCCGGGGGAGTGGAAGGCTGAGCGCTTGGTTGGTAGCTGCCCAGCATAACCCCTTCCCACTGGGGGTTCCATGCCTCAAGTGTTGCGTGTATTCATATACATGTACCCTTGCCTTCATTGTGTGTGCCAGTGTCTGCATGTGTACACAGGTGCCTATACACATCTATGTGTATGTGTGATGCCTGTTGCACACTGCATGGATATTAGGCACATGTGGACTCAATACGATATCTGGGTTTAGTGACGTGTGTCACTAAATGTTTCAAATTTGCGGGTACTAGAGCAGAGCCAGGTATGTTTACTCACACACCTGTGTGCTGGGGACAGGGAGGGTGTGTGGGCACCAGGGGGCAGCCTTAATGGTGGCGAGTGTACCACACATGCTGGGGGGCCTACAGGGCCCAGGATGGGGCCAATCCACCAGGCAGGCCTTGGGGGCCAAGTAGGAAGGATGACTGCAGGAAGGACATTCCGACCTACCCATGAAAGCTTCTCTCCCGGCTGAAATGGACAGGGAGATGCCCCATGCTGACCCATGCTGACCCCTGACTTCCCTAGGCTCCAACTTTCACCACCTCCTAGGAGGGGCCTTAAGCCCCCACAGCCCAAGTTTAGCCTCTGGACGACCGTCATTCATACCACAGGGCAATATGTGCCCAATGAGCTGGCCTCATGGCCAAGTAGAGGCACTGACCTGGACCTGGGGACCAATGGCTGGAGGGACCAGCTGAGGATCACTCCTGGCTCCTGCACAGACCCCCATGGGAGTCCAGGTTTGGGCCAAGAACTTGCTAGGGCTCTGGACACTGAGGAGTTTTGGGGGAGGGGGATGACATGTGCTGGTGGGGTTTCCACTCATCCCAGGGCTGGAGACTCCCACAGGCCAGACAGAGTGGGAGCAGGAATCAGCCAGTGAGTGCAGGACACATACTGGCCTGCCCACCATGGGCTTTGCCTCTCGGGCAGCCCTAGGCCCAGGCTGGACAAATGACCACAGTGATAGAGTAATCGCTAGGCTGTAGAGCCACACTCAGCCCCGGATCTTCCACACGCTGCCTCATTGAATCGGCCCCACCCACGGCATAGCCAAGATGTCCAGATGAGGAAACTCAGGCCAAGAGGCTGAGCAACTTGCCTGCGGTCACGCAAATGGGGAGGGGTATCAGACCCTACAGCCTGGTGGTCGGGCACCTGTGTGTGGGATGTGGGGGGGCTGGGGGCAGCGGCAGAGGGGAGGTTAGGTAGGTCTCAGCAGGGAGGTGATACGCCTCGAGGTAGAGGGTTCAGGGAGCGTGAGAACTGGAAAAAGCAGGGTGCACCTGGACAGGGCCTGTCCATGCTATTCCACTGCACCCCCCACGCCGGTCATGTTTGGCACACCACAGCAACCACCTGACCATGTGAGCAACAGGAGGTCAGTCCCTTCTGCTACAGATGAGGAAACAAGAGGTACCGAGCAGGAGCTGGGACTGAGCAGGAGCTGGGACTTGGTCTCTACAGAGGCCCCATGGAGGTTGCCTCCAGCTCCATCTCAGCTGAGATTCTGCAGTGATCACAGGTTGGCCCAGCCCAGAAGTCCCACAACAGGACCTATCTTTTTCAGTTGGAGAGAAGGGGTTTGGCCCAGCTCAGTGCAGGAACATGGCACCTGACTGGCTAGTGACCTAGGTGACAGCCCTCTTTTGGTGTGGTGGTGATGATGGGGGGCAGTGGCTCTATGAGGGACCCTAGTGAGATCAGATGAATGCTCTAGTGCTTTTGGCTGGGAGGGCTCGGGGTCTTTCAGCTTCTCCCTAACCAGGGTAGCCGGGTGCTCATTGTATGGAGGGCAGGGGGCGAGGACAGGTCAGCAGCCAGGCCCATGAGGTCTGCCCAGTGCAGGGACTGAGGGAGTCTGGGTGTGCTCCACAACCCCAACGTCAGAATCACTCATAGCTGTTCGCAGAGTTAGTCACTAAACCTTTTTATTCCAAGTCCTAAAGTCCAACTGTACTTGGAGTGATGTGAATGTGTTGTAGAGAAAGGAGGAGGCAGGGGTCAGGTTGCCTTTGCTCCCAGGCTGAGGTCTGATGGCCTGTGGCTGTGTGGGAGGATGCTGAAGAGCTGCACATATGTCAGGCCTGAGGGGACGGCCTAGACCCACCCCCGTGTGTGATGATCAGGATGCTGGTGGGGAGGGAAGCCCATGGGCATTGTCCAGCAAAAGCCAAGGCACAAGGCAGGCAGGACCAGCCAGGCAGGGGACAAGTCAGGGTCTGCAAGTGGAGAGGACTCAGCTAGACTGAGGTAATGGCACAGATAGTCTGAATAGAGTGAGGAGCAGGGTGCTCTAAGGAATGAACTGGGGGACCAGAAGCCCACCCATGTCCTCTTCCAGGGCAACACTGGCCAAGTCTACGAAATGGGCTTTGGGAGCGAAGCTTTGGAGTCAGAAAGGGTTTCTGGAGGACAGGCAAGCCTTGGTTTTCCCCGGAGGGCTGGTCCCACAGCCCTGAGCCCTTCATCCTCCAGAATCAAAGCTGCCTGGCTCCCCCTGCTGGCCCTACTGGCCCCTCCTCAGGCCTGGCCACTACAGCCAATGTGGAACCTCAGTCCTCTTCCACTGGCACACCCCTGCCTTAGGATGGGCTTAGAGCTCTGACCCACAGCCCCCATCTGCCTGGGTGCCCCAGCCTGTACGCCACTCCCACACTCTCAGTTGTCCGGCTCCAGTGTCCACTCTGACAGCCACTGAAGGCATGAGGCACGCTGTGCCTCTGTCTCAGGGGGCTTGGCAGGGGGTGGTGGAGGCTGGCCTGGCCCAGGCAGGGACATGGAGGGGCTGCAGGGCCTGGGGTCCCCTTCTGTGGGCTCAGGGTCAGGGGCAGCCCGTAGGACCTGGACAAGCTGGTCCAGAGGCTGCACCAGGGTGTGGGGGCTCCAGCAGGCATCAAGGGTGGGCAGGAAGGGGTCCGGTGTGCGGGCCTCCACACACTCAGCCTGCGTGGGGATCCGCAGGTAGAAGGCGTGCAGCATCATGCGGAATGGTTGGTCCTCCCTGCCTGAGGCCTGCCCGTAGGTCAGGTCGCCCACAATGGGGTGACCAAGGGCACTGCAGTGCACGCGAAGCTGGTGCGTCCGGCCTATATGGGAGAGGGGACCAGTCAAGAGAAGGCACCACTCCATGATCACCCCCCACCATTCACATCACACCTGGCATTGTTCCCTGCTGCCGCCTTGGGAACAGCAGCCCTCCATGTTTCCTGCTACAGACAGAACATTAGAGCTCAGAAAAGGAGTCAACTTCTGGGGTCACCTCTGGTGAAGGCAGGGCCAGGGTGGTACTCAGTCCACTGGAGAACCCAGGCCAGCTTTCCCACTGCCCTCACATCCAGGCCAGTGAGACCCTGTGTGAGGCAAGAACCACAGGACCGGGGGGTCGAGTATGTGGCAGAGAATCAGCTTTGCCAGCGATGGTTCGGTGGCTCTGGGCAGGCTACTCTGCCTCTGTGCCTCAGTTTCCTCTCCTACGTAACACAGATGCTGCAGTGCACTATGAAAGGAAATGCTGATGCTAGGCATCCATCACAATGGGGGCAGGATACTGTCAGCAGGCAGTGAGGGGCCAGGGCAGCTTCCCAGCCTCTTGCTCCTGAACGTACCTGTGAGGGGCTGCAGCAGCACTTTGGACACGGGGTCACCTGCATACAGCCCATGTTCCAGGACGACGAGCTCCGTGAGGCTTGGTTTCGGGTTCTCACAGCCTGGGTGGAGAAAGGCAGGCTGTGAGGGTTGGCCAGGCCAGCCCTGAGCCGTGGGACTCCAGTCCAACCCAGTATAAGTCAGCTGCCCAGATTGGCCTCACCCACCCAAGGTCCCCTCTCTATGAAATATGCCCCAAAGCCCCTGCCCCCTGGCCCACTGTACCGTGGGTGCCCTCGATGCACATGGTGTGGGCCCGACCCTCTGTGTTGTTCCTGCCGATGGCATAGCTGATGGTCATCCGGCTTTCCTGTACATGTCCCCGAACCTGCCGGGCAGGGGAGCCCACTGACACTCAAGGCCTGCCAAAGTGGGCTAAACAATGGAGTCCCCATGGCTCCAGGACAAGCCAGGACTTACCAAGGCCAGGTAAGCCTTGGTGACTCGCCGCTCCTTGAAGCACTTGTAAGCGCTGCCTGCAGCTGCCTTGTTCAGGGCCACACAGAGTGCCCCGCTGGTAGAGAAGTCCAGCTGGTGGCAAAACCTGGCATGGAACAGAAGGTTAGCAGTGGCTAGGTTGGGGGCAGCCACTTCCCTCCAATGGAGGCTACCGTGAGCTACTTGTGCTGCACTTCCACATACATAGATACCTGAACCCATAGTAAGTGTCTGGGTCAGCCAGCTCAGGGAAGCGATGCCGAAGCTGCTTTTGGAGGGTTAGTGTCTCCCTCCACGTCTTGCTGTCAATACGCACATCCCAGTGCTTGTTCACCACCAGGAAGTCACGGCTCCGGTACACAATGGACAGGTTCTCCATGCTGCCTGGCTCCATGACAAGGGCCTATAATGCAGGGCAAGCATGTAGAGTGGAGGTTGTGGGGTGACCAGCCAACATCCGGGTCCTGCCCAACTGGGGTGGACAACTTGGGGTTGACCCAAGGTCTGAAGCCACCCATGCTGTATGTCAGGCAAGTAGGTGCACCTACTGTGTGCCTGCACCCAATGGACTCCTTACTACCTTCACCCCTAAACCAGGCTTGAGAGTATCAGTGGAAATAGGGGTGTGGCCAAGGTCAGGAGAACCAATGTTGCTCTGACTGTGGGGCAGTCCTGCCCAGACCCAGGCCTTGGGCTAAGCAGTCTTGCTCTCCAGCCCGTTCCCACCAACCCTTCCCGACAGATCAGGAACAGGCAATAGAGGACTCTTCTAGAGCGGGGAGGGGGCAAGGACAGGGGCTTCTATGCCCCCACGGCCTGGGGCGGGGGGCAGGTCAGCTGGGTGCAGGAGTGGGGAGCGCTAGGTTCAGGGATGGAGTGGAGTCCACTTTCGCCCCCACTCCTCTGGCAGACACCCTTTCCTCCGCCTCCCCTCCGAGGAAGCTCCCACCTCTGGCATGTGATGGGCACAAGCTGAGGAGTTCTGGGCAGATCCCGGCTAAGAGCCCCTCCCGCGCCCCCGCCCACTCCGGAACCCACCTGCAGTCAGGCCGCGCCGTCCGGGCCCCCAGTACCGATGTCTGGTCTTAGATCCAGCCCCCGCGTCCCCGCGCCAACATGACCTACGACCCCGGA